TTCTTTTCTATAGAAATACTGGTTACCAGCACACTAAGAGACTAAAATTTACACCATGAAAATATGTTTCCAGAAGCAAATGGCAGGCTCATATCTCACTGATTATTTCATATAAAATGTTGAAAGTTCTTTTTTAAAATTTATTTTTATTGATGCAAATTTTTCAAAGAATTTCTTCTTCAAAATAATTAGCACTCTGGAGGCTGAGGCAGGAGAACTGTCAAGTTTGAGGCCAGCTAGTGCTACATAGTGAGACCCTGAATCAGCAAACTAAAATAATAACAATAAAAAAATAATTAGGTACAAGTAAAACTACAATGCAGTACCATTTTTTAGACTATTCAGGATCAATTTCTTTTAGGAGTTCAGCTTCACTGTAATATAATGAAATTGAGAGTTGCCACATTAATTATTTTCAAATATTTATTATTTGCTTTTTCTTACACTTATATAACTGGTATTTGAAGAATAATTGCTGAAAATACTTGGCCATTTATTTATTAAATATCTGTGATATTAAAGAAGAAATGCAAGTAATAGAATTAGTTGGAAAAATATTTCCTTAAAATAGGAAAATATCTTTAATGATACTAAAACTTTCCTTATCTTGAAGTATAAAATATTTTAAATGTTCAATAAATAGATTACCAAGAATAGCAATACCCAGCTTACTTTCTAAAACTATGTCTGCCTTTCTTGGCAAAAATAAAATACCAGGGCTTTTGAATTAATTTGCTCATTCATGAAGTTTATTTGCATGTACTGTAGATTTGAGAGGTCTTATTTTTAATTTTATATGCTGAAATTAGTTATCAAAATTTATATTTCAAAAATGAGTACCATGAAACTAAAATTTAAGTTTTCTAACTTAATTTTTTAAATTTAATTTAGCTTTTGTTCAAACAAGTTTATTAACAAACATCCAAAGGAAACTTTTCAAGCACCAGGTCTCCTAAAAATGCCTATTTATTATCTAGTAATTCATAACCCAATTCTTCTACTCTCTTTCACTAATTTTTTTTTGTTTTGTTTTACGGTACTGGGATCAAACTCAAGACCTCACACTTGCCAAGCAGGTACTTGTATCACTGAGCTAAATCCCTGGCCTCTTTCACTAATTTTTAAATAAAAATGAAGGCAAAATATTAAGTTCAATATTTAATTTGCGTGTACAATACCATATACTAACTGCTGTGCCCAAATTGATGAGCAGCCAGTAAGATCTACCATTTGTAAGAACAGAACTCATTAATTAATAAGAACTAAATCCTTATCTAAAATCCTTGGAACTAGGTCCATGTTTCAACATTCCAAGCTTCTGAGTAAAAAAATAAAAAGCTTACACCTAAAATAAAACAAAGAATTCCACTTAATTTTCTTGAAAGCTTTGGCAGAATCCCCAAGTACAGTAATATGTAACAGTCAATGAAACAGAAAAATAGCATGCATTGATAAATACATCTCTTTTATAATGGTAGTAGATACACTAAAAAATGAATAATTTCATCAAATAATAAAGTCTAAATACTGCAGTGGTAGAATTCTTTTTACAATTTGAAAATACAACACTTAAACATTTTATCCAAGCAGTAGGAAACCTACACAATGCTTCAGAACTACTACTGCAATCAAGAAATAATTAAGAAGGAATTCCTAAGTCCACAATCGTTAAAAGAAATAAATGATAAAATGATAATTAAACCTGACATTAAACAAGACAACCATATGCATATCCCTTCACACTATACTGGGTCACACCAACCACAAGTCTGATACTTACATTTTAAGTTATTTGCCATATTTCATAAATTACACAGAATGCTTTCTACTTTTCTAGCATCCTGAGCAAATTCCTCCTCACTTACATTGAATTAAATGGAACTATTATTAATAGTGGACCCAATAGTATTCCTTATTTTCAAACTTCAAATTAAATTTAAATTTATTTTTAAAAAATATTCTCAACTTGTTGGGTGTGCTGCCATACACCTGTAATCCCAGCACTCGACAGGCTAGACAGGAGAACTACCATGAGTTTGAGGCCAACTGGGCTACATAGCGAGATTCTGTTTCAAAAAAGCCCCCAAAATTAAATAAATAACATTTTTAACAAGTTAAAACACTGGTTTTCTAAATTAGTTGATTTGAAAAAAATACCTTTGTTTGGTACTCTGTAGCATTACCATATGAAGGGTTTATGTTGCTTTGTCCCAGGTAAAACCTATTCTAAAATAAGTTCACAATGCATCTTCAGTGTCTTACTACTGTGCCTTTCTCCAATCTACACATAACAATATTCAGAACAAAGACACATTCAAAGGAAACTCCAACTTGTTGACTTTCCTTTTATTTGCACAACTCTTATATGCAGCACTGTAATGTATAACAGAATACAAAACTACAAAAAAACTACAGCACTGCGCTATGCAGTACAATCAGCAAAAATTACAGTACTGTATAAACAAAGTGTACTATACAAAAAAAGAAATGGAAGCTCTATAAACAAGATGTACAGAACTGTGCAAAAAAAAAAAAAATTCTAAATTTGAGTAGGAAGTCCTAAGTCTGAATAGTTGATAAGCAGGTTGGTCATTAAACAAGGAATCTTTGTATCTGCTGACTGCTACAGGATGAGTTACTCAGAATTTCTGGGTTCTTAGCTTTTTCCCCTGCCTTTTCCTCACCATAAAATTATTTAAAAATCTACAGCATATATATAGAGGACAGTTTTCGAACTCAAGGTAGCCAGCTAAATATAAATGCATCTGAGGGACCTACATACTAGAGCTGGGCAATAAGGATTAACACTGACTCAAGAATCAGCTATGACCCGGAAAGAGAATTTAAAGTCTTCAGTTCTACAAAACAGTGGCCTCTCTTTGGGGCAAATCATTTGTTTCAGTGGCTCCCAAACCTGGCTGTCTGGAACACTGTTTAAGAAGGACTGCTTCTCAAAATGTTTCATAGCTAAGGTTAATTTCAGCCACCCTAAAAATCTAACACAGCAGGCACATATTTCTCCATTTGAAAATCAGACCCAGGCAAGGAATAGATAAGAAAAGCTGTAACAGTCATCTTTTGGAAAATGATTGTTACTTCCCAGCTGCCTAAGACTTAGAATCCCTCCAAATCTGACCAACTGATCTTATGTGTTAGTCTCTATTTCTGATCACACAAACAAGGATGGGAAATACATAGAAGGGGCAGAATAAACTAAATTTGATTTGAGGCCAGGTGTAGTGTTGAACACCTGTAATCCCAGTTCTTGAGAAGGTGAGGCAGGAGGACTGCCACAAGTTCATGGCCAGCCTGGGCTACACAGTGAGTTCAAGATCAGCCTCAACTACACACCAAGACCCTCTCTTAAAAGACAAAACAAAACAAACAAACAGAAAGATTCAAAATACAGTCTTTAACATAAATGTTTATAAAAGAAAACAGAGCAATAGCCAAATATCAAAAGAAATCAGCCAGCGCTGATATAGTATAAAGGGAAGGACTTTACAAAGAAACATTGCTATTTCTAATGAGTTCACTATGTACTGTATAGCTCCCATGGGTTAACAATGCTTTTGTAGTCTTCTGATTAAAACTTGTCTTACCCGAATAAAGAACATTCTAAACATCAAATAATCAATAAACAGCTAAAACTTGCTTCTTTCATTCAAGAGCCTCCCACCCTACCAAAGTTTAGGAAAAACATACAACTTTTTATTTTATACCCCCTTCCTGTTTCCTTCTCCTCTCAGCACTTTTTTGTTATCGCAGCACAAAACTGTTATCATGATATCACCTATTTAATAACCCTCCTCAAAATATTTAAAACTGAATCTAATCTTGCAGAAAAAATCAGCCAAAATAAAATAAAATAAAGGAACATTCTACAGAATTACTAGGCTGCGCTTTTAAAACACTGCCATATAATGAGGAACTACAAGAAGCTGCAGAACTGTTTTAAATTGGAGACCCAAAGAGGAAAATAACTAAATGTATGTAAGAAGCAATTCTTCATTTGAAACAAGATCACAAAAATATAATGTCAAAAGAACATTATTATTTTTTTAAAAAGAACATTATTGGGACAATTGGGAAATAGTGTACCAATATTAATGTCTGATATTAGACTATATGTTCCTGTGATGTAAAAGATAAATTCATTCTTTTGTGTTTTGAGGATGTAGCTCCATGGTAGAGTGCTTACCAAGGCCACAAAAAAGAAAAATTCTTCTCTTTAAGAATTTAAAGGATGTACTGCCTTAAATTCTGCAACAACAATTCAATAAAAAATTTTAGTGATGCATGCTTATAATCCCAGCACTCTGAGAGGCTCAGGCAGGAAAACTGGAAGTTTGGGCCCAGTTTAGGCAATTTAATGAGACCACTAAAAGCAGAGGCTATAGCTTAGCACAAAGGCCCTAGGTTTAATTCCCAATGCAAAGGGAAAAAAAGGTGCGCACATCTGTGTATATGACTACAACACAGGAAACAATGCACATGAGATAAAAATTAACAACTGGTCATATTTGATAAAGTGTATGCAGTCTTTTACTAGTCTTAGCAGTTTTCTGAGTGCTTGAATATTTCCAATAAGGCCAGGCGTGGTGGCTCATACCTGTAATCCCAGCACTCAGGAAGCCGAGGCAGGAGAGTTGTTGCGAGTTGGAGACCAGCCTGGGCTACAAAGTGAGCTCAGGGCCAGCCCAAACTATATAGTGAGACCCTGTCTCAAAAAGACAAAAAAAAAAAGAAGAAGAAGAGAAGGAGGAGGAGGAGGAAGGAAAAGTGGAGGAGGAGGGGGAGGGGGGCAGAAGAAGAGGAGGAGAAAGAGGAAGAGGAAGAAGAAGAAAAGGAGGAGGAGGAGGAGGAGGAAGAGGAGGAGGAGGAGGAGGAAGAAGAAGAAGAAGAAGAAGAAGAAGAAGAAGAAGAAGAAGAAGAAGAAGAAGAAGAAGAAGAAGAAGAAAATTTCTAATAAGTAACTGAAGAAGTAAAATGTTACTCACTAGTTGCTTGACTTTGACGGTTGGTGGCATCCCAGCTGGCTGTGCGAGGAGGGTGCCCGGCTGGGTGAGTTTGATTTGGAGGGGCGTGCCAATCACAGGCTTGTCCAGCTTGGTCCCGGCAGAAGCAGCAATGGGCTTCACAGGTGGAAGACAAAGAGCTGCAGCTGACTTGTCTCCAAAAGTTACTGATGGAAGAGCCAGTGTAACTGCTGCTCCAGAGACGACTGGCTTCTCAGGCTGCAGAGAAACTGTTGTCACTGCATTTGGTACTGATGTCACCAGTGGTTTTGAGGTCTGGAGCAAAACAGTTCCAGCTGTTGTTCCACCTGCCACAGTAGCTGGGCCCACAGAATGTAGGGTCACAATGCCAGTTTTTGCTCCAACTGGACCACTGAGTGGGTTCAGAGCTTGCACAGACACGGGTGCGGGCACTGCTGCAGTGGGAGCGATGGTGGGCTTTTCAGTCTGGGCTGAGGACACAGAAGTCGTCACCGCAGGAGAAGTTGTGACTGTTGTGGTACAGGTGGAAAGGATGACGTTGCTGGAAGTTTCCTGAACACACTGCTGAATGAAGCTCTGGGCGTTAGGCAGAAGTTGTCGTAAGGCAATCACACTTTTCTAGAAACAGAGAGAGGAGAAGGAAACATTTGATAAATTACTAGTAGCACAAAATTTTGTACAGGGATTGAAATATACACCGGGGTCTACCAATGAGCTACATCCCCAGCATAAACCTTTGTATTTCTTGTTTTTACAACATAAAGCAAATTCAAAGTGTATCAGGTATTTCAGTGGAGAAAACTTGTACCCTTTATTTTATCCTATCTGTATCCAAGCTACGTTCAACTTAAAGCCAAAAAGTATTTTTCAATATAAAGTTAATCATGACTCAATATCAAACTTATTTTGGATACCTCAATTATCAGTATGGAAAGTAAAACACTATGTTATACTTCTCTGTACACATCTACAGCCTATAAAAGATTAGTAACCTTGGTATCTGTAAGCTTATTTACAACACATCCTTTGTTAAGTAACTTTCCAACTTTCAACAAAAATAGTCTTTACATCAAAATAAAACTAATACAAAGTAAATTTCAAGATCCACAACCATTTCCATAACTGAGGTCATATGTTCTCTGACCAAATTTTAAGTCACTGTCCGTCTTTCCAGTCTTCTGAAAAAGCAAAGAGTTCAAAATAAAACCATGCTTTTGAGGCGGGAGTTGTCATGTGTTAGGGAAAATATCCAAAACTAGATAGGTGGTAAAGATTATCTTCACTGACTGTGAAGATTTCCTTGTTGTAACACCTAGATTCATCTGGACCATCTACTAAAAGCTGGAAACAAAGTACTTAAGAGACAAAAAAATTTCAGGAACAAAAATAAAACCATCATCCTATCTTACATAAAGAACTACTGTTCCCTTTAACTTCTGGGAAAAAAAAAGAGATAGATTCAGGATATCCCTAGTTGGGGAGGTTTTCAAAATTTACACATGTAAAATCCCTCATAATCTTTTCCTAAATTCAAAAATGGCAGAAAATAAACCGCTTTTGAAATATATTCGGAAAATGACTTAAGTTTAAATTGGAAATTTAAGAGGGATTATCAGGAAAACATAACTGGAAAGACATTTTAAGTATCTCAAAGTATCTCTTAAAGAGATGTGTTTTGAATTATCTTGATTGCTTGGCCAGAGTTGAGTTAAAATGCTGAATCGCTAATCTCTATGCAACATCCACTCCCTCTAAAACTCTCAAAGATGAAAGAAAAAAAATACAGGTAAAACTGTTAAGAATTTTTTTAGAAAACAGACACAAAGCGCAAATCCTCAATAGTATATAATTTTAAGTAGAGTCAGATAAATTCTAGACCTGTGAGTTTTATCTAAAGTTAGCTGATCTAAATGGTTTTGCCCTCTCTAAAATGACAACTTGGGGCTGGGGATTTAGCTCAGCAGCATAAGCGCCTGCCTTGCAAGCAGGCAGTCGTGAGTTCGATCCCTGGTACCGATAAAAACAAAAAAGACAAAAATAAATAAATAAATAAAATGAAAACTACTCCCTAGCACATATTCTCCGAGTAAAACAATTGAACACACGCAGTGCAAATCATGTGACAGTACCCACGGGGTCATCTGCTGTGGCCTGGCTCTTGGTATCCCTCAAACGCCCGTTTGTCAGAGGCCTGGTCGACAGTGGTGCTACCAGGAAGCAACAGGAACTTTAAAAGGCAGGGCCTAGAGTTCAGCCTCATCTGTGGGAACTGGGAGCCCACCTCAAGGGGAGCTGTGGGACCCTGGTGTCTTCCTTTCTCTGTTTCTCTTCCTGGCCATGAGGCGAAAGGCTTTACTTTCCCAAACACTTCCACCACAATGTGCTACCTTGCCACAAGACCAATGGGCCAACGGGTCACAGACAGGAGTTCTACACCTGGGAGCCAAATAAACTTTTCTCCTTAAAAGCTTATTTTCACGGGTATTTGTTATAGTAATGAAAAGCTAATACAGTGCTATCACACTGTAGAAAGTCACTCATTTTCTTCCTTCTCCCTCTGTGTGTACCAAATCAATACAAACTCCAAAGTAGAAAGAGCTGTCATTTTTATATCTAGAGCTCAAGAACCTTTGCAATGAAAGCAACCTGGGAAGAAGGCCTCTAACTTCTCCGTCAAGGGAGTCAACCAGGAAGAGCACAGGCAATCACAAATAACCCACCTCTGGCTGGTACATTCTCAGTTTTACTCAGCCTTTACATCACATATTTGTACTCTCCTAGTCAACTTGGTCACCACTTAGAAACAGTTTTTGCTGTTTGAAAATCCTTATGAAAATGGAGTGCTCCATCCTCCTTGCCGTTCTTCTATAGTGAGACAACAAAAGGAGTCTGAAGTATGAGGCCCTTTCATCTTGCCTACACAATTATTCCAAAATTATTCACAAGGCAACTCTTGATGATATTATGTCCAAATTTATGGTGATGAGTGTTGGTCCATAATAGCTCTGAGTGCTTTACTGACTTTATAAATTTCACTTTAATTCCTTTGTAACTTCCAGGAATCTAAATGGATTTTTTAGGCTGCTAAAACAAGCTCTTGTTATATAAATTAATTCTTAAAAATTATACCCTTCCAGGAAATGTGACTGTGTGATTTATAATTCTACAATAACATGAGTTGTTAAAACAGAAGACCCTATTTTCACACACATATATCAAAAATTTCTTGAATATATTCCTGTTCAAGTATTGAACAATACCATCAAGTAACTTCACAAGCAAATGTTATTCCTGCTTTTCAAAAGTGTTCAAATGAAAACAATACTATGAATATGCTTGCGTTATAGTTTACTGAGGTAGTAAGGGTTGTCCCACACTGTGAGCACCTTCACACTGAACTACTACCATACCGAAATATCCCAGTTTAAAATTGTTTTATGAAATCAGACATAAAAACTGCCTTCAAAGAAAGACACAACACTACCTTGAGGAAAGGAACTAGGTGAGGCTGAGGTGACGACTTAAGTTCAACATACAGTTTCTTAGTAAATTCTTCCGCTTCAATTTTTGCATCCTAAGAAATTGGAGGAAAAAATATTTTTAGACATACATTTTAAAAGACACAAACTCAGGCATGGTACCACATGCTAGTCCCAGCCCCTCAAAAAGGGAGAACCAGGAAGTTCACTGGAGCCAGAGCCATGTCTTAGGCTGCCTGGACAGCACAGCCAGCTCGCCAGACTCTGTCTCTTTAAACAATAATCAAATTAAAAACTAAAAGAGGCAAAGAACGCAACTCATGATTGCAGGCAAGCTTTTCAGAAGCTGCGAAGTCCTTCATTAGATGGAGGAATTTTTTTTCCTGCCACTGAAGATGTGAGAGAGACAGCATAAATAATGCGGTGCTTATTCACAGACATCACAATGAAGAGCTGACTGGCTGAAGACTGCTCCATTATTACGACAGCTAAGAACAATAAAGAAGGGAAAACATGGAATCCTAAACTTAACTGCAGGAAATAGGAAGCTAGTTGTTTTGGAGCCTTTGAGGTGTTTTTTTGTTTGTTTGTTTTTTTAATTTTGGTTCATCAATGTTTAAATTATCTTAATCAAGGTAAGATGGTTTTAGAAAACTGCTGCAAGACCAGAACGGCAGTTGCAAACACTGGGGACTCCTTATTGATCATTTTACACTCCTAAGCATTCCAAGGGACTCTGAGATCTAAAATTATTTTCACTGTAATAGAAAGGGTGTGTGTGTGTGTGTGTGTGTGTGTGTGTGTGTGTGACAGATGCAGCGGCACACGCCTGCGATGTCTGCTACACCAGAGGCTGACCGAGGAGGGTGGCAAATTCAAGGGCAATCTGGGCGATACAGGCAGACCCTGTCTGAAGATAAAATTTTAAGAAACTACAATAGGGTGTTTATCTAGCATGTGCGACTGGGTGGGTTCAATCCCTAGTACATGGGGAACAAAAAGGAGGCAACAGCAAGAGCTGTAGGCACCAGTAGTTTTAAAAAGAGTCAGTTACTCTTTTAAACATCCAGGATGAAACAGTAAAACTTAATGTTACTACATCTCAACTCCACTACACATGTTCTTTAGTCCTGAACATAAAGAAGAATCACATGAAAAACATTTCTGCTGCAAACAAAGTAGAAATATGCTCAAGGAAAAGCATTCTGCCACTGAGTCACCAGCTGAGCCCCTGCTAGCTTTCATTTTTACTGGAAAGAATGACAAGGCAACTGAGACAAATGACCAAATACTTGAATATTTGGTAGGCATTTTCTAAAAACTAAATGAAGTCTGTTGTCATGAGCAAAAATAACTGATAGCAAAATGATAAAATTAAACTCTCAAGCCAAAATAACAATTTTGGAAAATTTATAATCACTACTATGGACTTGATAGTTTCCTACGAGTTAAAAGAATTCTCTTTTTTTTTAAGAGTGAGAAGTTCATTGGGGAAAAGGAATAAGGAATGGGAATAGCTCCCAGAGACAGGAAGGGTTCAGAAAAGGTTGCTCTAAAAGAATTTTCTCATAAGACTGTCCTGTTTGGCAAACTCGAGGTCGTGAGTTCAATCCCCAGCACACACACAAAAAAAGACCGTCAGTGAAATTAAGGACCAAGTTATTTTGTCATGTTAAATAAAGTATCTGAAAAAATGTGGAAATTTGTATAACTCGTAAACTAATATTTTCCAAGGGACCAACACAAGCTATGGTAGCAATTGTACATGGATAAAAACTCCATTCACTGTGTGAAGTAAGTCAGTACACTCTAAAGAACACCCACACTGTACTGGAGGAAGTTACTCCAATGCTCCTTATTCCAACCACCTCGTCACATGAGACCAGGTATTTCTCAAATACTCTATGAAAAAAACAGCACAAAATAGATTAAATGCCAAAGCAGGAAGGAGAATGTAGCTGTCATCTGTTAAACTAGACATTAAAGAGATTTACAAAATGCAAAGCTGTTTTCATCACTCAGTTTTACTGTTTTGGATACTACACTTTCATTCAAATGTTATTTATGTTAATAACAGGTTTATTATTACTTTCAAAGATAAAATTCTTTAAATTTCACAGCCAGAATTCCAGGTCCCCAGAAAAATAAAAATGCCTGAAGGAAGCCTTGATTTTAGGAATATAAAAGTATCCCAAGAACAAAATATTTGAGTGTTACTGTTTGCTGTTCTAAGACAAACAGTTCTTAAGCTAGAAAGGACATTTGATTAATTCTAACTATTGCTGTCTCTCTGCAAAATTCACACATATCTTTCTGGCTTAAAAACTTTAAAATCTTTTATAGACTATATATGGTCTCTCAAGTATTTTATTTAGAGAATCAAGTCACTATATACTTTTTCAAAACTAGTGTACTTCAGGGAAAGGTAAGAACAAAAGTTCAGTGTTTACTTTTAAAAAGACTCTCAAATTTTAAATTAAATCTGTATATAAGACATATAATTTTAAATACCTTAAAAACATTTTCCCAAATGGGAAACTAGCCATTTCAAATATCCTATTTCTATTATCTGTAAGAACATTTTTAAAAGACAAAGAATGTATGACATATTTGAAATACACATGGGTTCTACTTGGAGAAGGTGCCAATTTTACAATTTTTAAAATACATTAAAATGTTAGTTATATGACAAGATAAATCTATGGATTATAGTAGTTCAAAAAGTTCAAAACTGGCCAGGCATGGTGGATCACACTTGTAAATCCCAACACTCAGAGGCTGCAGCAGGAGGAGTACTGCAAGTTGGAGGCAGCCTGGGCTTCACAGTGAATCCCGGCCAGCCTGAACTACATAGCAAGATCCTGTCTAAAAAGAAAAGTTCAAAATTGGGGTGGGGTGTGGCTCAGGGCTCCTACCATGTGTTAGGCCTTGAGTTCCATCCCCAGTACCCATCCCCCCCAACATACACAGCTCAAAATTATCTTTGTTAGATGGATGTGATGGTACACTCCTATAATCCCAGCACTTGGGAGGCTGAGGCAGGAGAATCATTTGCAAATTCGAGACCAGCCTAGGCTACAAAGTGAGCCCAAGGCCATCCTAAACTGCATAGCAAGACCCTGTTTCAAAATGATAAAAGAAACAAACAAATAAACAAAAACCTCAAAATTATCTTTGTTATATTCTCAGTTCATGTCTTAAATACATGTACTTTTACCAAGAAGCACATTTAAAATAAACCTCATCAAAAATACATAGATATTCCCATTCAAAACATGTTCTATGAATTCCTATAAAACTTAATAACATTTACTAACTTACCAAAAGTTGTTCCACCAGCTTCTTCACATTCTGCCCCATCTCTGGAGACTGTGACCCACTGCATGCTAGTTTTATTAACATGGCAAGGAAATTTTTACATTTCTTCACATTTTCTAGCATTGCCTAAATATCAAGAAATATAAAATCACAAGCATGAGTCAGCATTAGCCAAGATTCAAGACCACTAGTAAGAAATTATTGGTGTACAGCCAGTAAGAGCTTACCGGAGAAAGATTAACCTGAGCAGCTGCTGAGCGCTCTGCTTTGGAACCAGGCTCATTTGAGGGTACAGATGATGCTCCCAAATCTGAAGGCTTCAGGGTAGTTACAGTATTCACCGGCTTTACAGGAGTAACTGTGACAACACTGGCTGGCACAGATATAGACTGAAATCCAATTAGTACATACTGAGATAAGTATTGCTGGGTACTTCACTTCACACTTACCAAACTACAAATGAAGCTCGACATCTTTGCTTTGATGGGATGCGCTAAGAGTCTACAAAAATGTAACCCAGAACCCTGGACTCTAGCATATCTGTGTTTGATTCTACTTTTTATTGCCACTTACTACAATATTAAGTACAGACAAGTTACTATTCCCACTAATCCTCAGATTCCTGCACACGAACAAGGATAGCAACAGTGCCTGAACCCTAGGATTGTCTATGAAAGAGAGTACCACACAGATGAGTACTCAAAAAATATTGTTCACACTTTTCTGCAAGTATTTTAAATAGCAGGTCTTTATAAGAAAACAAAGAATTATCTGTCTGGTAATTTTCTGCTTCTTCTTACATATTAAGCAAAGTGATCTATTGATTATCTTATATTCAAACAGTCTGCTTTTAAACAGACCATTAAAATAAGCATTAAGACTGTTATAAAATGTGATCTTTTCACGCTGAAAAGAATTTCTCCCACACTCTGTTGGACTGATGTATGACTCTAGCACCATCTGCAGGGCAAAAAATTTAAAGCAAGAAATCACAACAGGTAATAATTCAGAAAACCATACTGTCTCAAACATTAAAAGTTGCTGAAAAGCTTGGAGTGGGAGGCAGATAGGAAAGAATAGTATTCATAATTTACATAGAAAACCAAACATTGTACCATGATTTTAATTTACATGCTTGTGTTCTGCAAGCACACACATAGAAAGGTGCTATAATCCTCAACAAAATTTCCTTCTTCACAGTCAAAATAGGTCAGTTTCAATGCACAACAAAATTATCCATATCCACTCTAAGAAAACTGGCATATATATCAGACAAAGCTTTGAGGCAAGAGAGAAGGAAATTTAAAATATTGATAGGGACTAGAACTAATGCTGAAATATTGAACAAAAGAGGCAAAATTAAAAACTACAAATAAAATAGTAAAATTCTATTAAGTAGAGAACACCTTAAAAGCAACAATAAAACAATGTCACCCACCTTCTGTTCACACTCTTATTCCTACTTTCCAGAGGCAACAACTGTGCAGTTTCTTCTAAAACCTTCTAGAGATTTTTAAAATTAACCTTCAGGCTTATATACTATAAATAAGACTTTTTTTCAGAGTATCTTAAAACCGGTCATGGTAATACCATATTTAAGAACACATAATCTAGAATTCTGGTTAGTAATTATGTCTTTGATAACTGGTGAGACTCCTCAGAGGAGTACTGTCCCCTTACCTTTGAAGCAAAACAAAATCCAGTGAAATGTGAACTGAGGAAAAATGTTCCAATGTTTGTGAGAAGTGTAAGTACTTACGACATTTTACTTTCTTTGTCAAAATTTTACTCTTTGTCCATACTACAGCTTGGATCATAAATGTTCCCAGAGGTCCATGCATCAAGAGCCTCGGGGCTGGGGATTTAGCTCAGCAGCATAAGCGCCTGCCTTGCAAGCAGGCAGTCGTGAGTTCGATCCCCGGTACCGGTAAAAAACAAAAAAGACAAAAAAAAAAAAAAAAAAAAAGAGCCTGGTTCACAGCCCAAGGTGCTCCTGGGAGCAGGTGAAATACTGAAAGAGGTGGAGCCTACTGGAAGGCTTCCAGTCACTTGGAGTAGATACTTGAACTAGATAACTGGGACACAGACCCCCACCCTTCCTCTTATCTCTCATGGTTTCTGATACCTGAAACCTTCAATCAACCCATCTGCCTGTCTGTCTGTCTGTCTCTCCAGAGTCTCAATATGTAGCCCAGGCTAGCCTCAACTCATGATTCCCCTGCTTCTACATCCCAAGTTCTGGAATTATGCATGTGCCACCATGCTCCAAAACCTTTCCAAATCAATCTACCTCAGATATTGCTGATACACACCAATACAAATCTGTCCTTCAAAATGCTTTCCAATAAAGCCACTACCTGTGTCACTACCTATACCTTTCACACTACTTACAACTTTTTAGGGACATGGAAAGTATATAATCCTGGCCTTCCTATTCTAGTGTTGGATGAATGCTCATATTTAATCATAACTTAAAACTTAGTTTTCTAGCATAGCCAATGGTAGATTGTGTTACAATGATTAGGCATGTTTTGGTGACAGAAGTCAAAGGCTTTGGAGTATTTATGAAATAAATCCATGTGAAAATCAGTTACATATACAGCACAAAAATAAACTACATGCAAATTTAGCAGACCAAATCTCATTTCAAGAAGGTGATTTCTGTCTGAAAGAGTAACCCTTTTAGGATTGTTCATATTTGATCAAAAATGCTAATTCTAAAAGAGAAATCATTATCACAGTTACATTCTAATCAAATAGGCAAAACTGTATCTTCCCCATTAATACAATCTAAGACTGAACATAAAAGTTTTTAATTAGTTTTCTTGTTATAATTATTAGCATAGGCCATATAGCAAGCCATTTTAAACAAATATTGATACCTATTAATAGGAAAATACGTATTTTCAAAATTTCTTAACACACAAATTTGCCTTTCCAATCAAATAATCAAGTATGAGGAGTCCTGTGTTGTCTCATTTCCAAGTTCTTCCTTATTTTTAAAAAGTATCCCCCAAAACTAAAAAGTTTTGTCTCTCAAAGTGGATACAGAACCTTTAACTGCAGTCTTTGAAAATTTCTACTGCCCCAGACAATCGATGAGGAATAACCTAACTTAAAATATGCATCAATGTAAATTAGGAAAATCAATCCACACATAAAATGCTAATAATCAATGAGAGGCATAAATTAGTATATGGAAAAATAATCTAAGAACAATACATAGTAAGTAGCTCAGGTATACCATTTTATTAACACTATGTACAAATTAAAAAAATAAAATAAAATAAACCAATCTGTACTAAATCTTTCTTTGATATGTAGCTTCTCTATGAGTATACTAAGTAACAGAGGCTGGAGGCTGGGTAGTGGCACCTATCCGTAATCACTGGGAAGGTGAAGGCAGGAAAACAGCAAGCTTGCGGCCAGCCTGCGCATCTTAGCAAAACAGGTCTCAAAATTTAAAAATCTTAAAAATAGCTGGGGACATAGTTTAACATTCCCCAGGTACAATCCCCATTACCACAAAAAGCAAAACAAATATTGACATGGAGTTAATAACTACATATAATGCTAATTAGTATGACTTTTACGATAATTGTAACATTTGAGAAAATTTTTAAAAATCTATTGTGAAAGTCTTGGGTATACACTAACACAGCACAGCATGCCATACTTTCAGTTTGAAGCCTACATTCACAATTGAAAGAAATTCTTAGTTTTGATTTGACCTTTATACTTTCCTACCTATATGAATTCAGGTCCCTAGATGTCCTTTTTTTTATAAAAATTATGAATGTAATTAGTGTCCACCAATTGTGATTAGTAATTAAATGAATACAAACTTCACTTTTGAGAATTATTAAAACTTCATTAAACATTCAGAGAGCACAGACATGAACCACAGCTTCAGTCAGCAAAGAGGAAATCAAGGTCTATGAATGTGGAGAATCTCTTAACACAGTGTAAGAACTAACTTCCAAGAAATTTCCTTTGTCCTTGAAGGTGAGTACAGTGGATTCCTCCAGTTACCGAGCTCAATCTGTTCTTCATGTCATGACATCCCCTGATGTACAAATAGTAACCTTAAGTTTCTAAGGTCATGTTGCTAAGTATGCTTTCTCTCTACACTATCTGTCTTTAATCAATATTATAAATGCACTTAATGTCTAAGAAATACACCCACTGAAAAAAATACTAAGGTACTGCTAGTCTAAATACTTAATAAGATAATTGGCACAATAATCTTACTAAAACCAACACAGTTGGTAGTTTAGGATCAGGGAATATGAACAGAGTAGGGAGAGGATTAGTGTCAACTACAGCCCAACATCAACTGCAGCAGTGGATTTGCCATCCAACCTATTAATCTCTTCTCTGTTTCCCCCAAGGAAGAAATTAATCAGAACAGAGAACAGCCAGTTCCAACAAATATGACATAGTAGATCCAAGTGAGGTAGACTATGAGCAGACTGTGTGTGATGAACAATCACAAAGGAAAGATCTATGTGGCCCTTCCCACTGGGAATGCTCATGGACAGCTTCCAGCTTCCAGCTCCATCAGGTGCAGATACTCACCCTGCTCAAAAGTCGAACTTTCCCAGCACAGTTCACATCCACTGACTGATCCCAGAAGAAACCATCTGACTGTGTTGGCCCAGATGGGACACTGTTGACAAGCCATATAGCTCCAAGTTCTCCACTAGGTTGGCTGATGTTGTACTGGGTCTACATATAGTTTAAATTCTCACTCTCCTCCCTTTCTACAGGTAATGATCCCTAGTAAACATCTGAGACACCAAATTTTATCTCATTACCTACTTCAAGGGAGTGTGACACATGGCTATTAGATGTATTTGCATTGCCTTAACACACTTCAGTAAAATATATCCAAGAATATACACCATATTTTCTTGTTTCCCATATCTCCAGCATTTCCCATTTTAATTTTTCCCATTATCAGTGAACTGCTCTCTTCAATGTCACATATTCAGCGACTTATACATTTGGCAGGAAACAACTAAATAATAAAGAAAGAAGCAAAAATAACCAGCATGCACATAGCCACAATTAAATCACAACTCACTTGAACTGAGGAAGGGTTTGGAACAGTGGATGCCATACTAGTTCCTATTTGTGCCAATGTTTTACCTGGTGCCACTGCTACTTTCTTGATTAACTGTGAGCTAGAATTCTGAAAGGAAAGAGACAAGATAATAAAGTCATCAGTATTAGTCATTTACAATTAACCAGTACTATGGAGAATAGAAGAACAATTTCCCATAGGAAATTACTTGCTGTAACTGGCTTTGTAATGGTAAAGTTTTATGCACATTCCATACTATCAACCTAAATGGTCATCTCGCCATTGACATTCATTTCATATTTCCAAGGAGGCAATGATTCAGTAAATATCCCTTTTATCTGAAGTCTCACACTAAGTAATATAGCTTCTTGTATTAAAATCTGAAACTTGACTCTGACTATACCGAAACCATATAAATTCTTGTATTTAATATTTAAATAAACAAAAATGTGCTACTTTATATTCTTAACCTATTAGAAAAAGCAAATTAGAAAGGGAAATCACCAAGCATTATTGACAAATGAAATAACTAATTAAGCACTTACAAGCAAATTAGGAAAACATAAAAACAAACAAAATGGGCAAAGAATAATACTTGCACAACAAATGGAATTTTTAATTCAAAATGCCTTTGAGTCATTAAAAAATGTTAAGACTATATTCAACATTTTGTGTTTAAATAAAAATATTCACAGAAATATTTTTAAAATTTTATCACATAAGCTCAGTTATCTAGAAAGATCACCAGGTATATAAAAAAATTCTAACAATGTAAAGCTAATGAAACATTATAGCATTTTTCTATATTTCTTACTTTCTAAAAATGAATACTATACATAGAGTCTTATTATTTTACCACAAATTAAACTGAATCAGAATATTTTCTTTCAAGATGCAAGCTACCCTTTCGAACATGTCTTCAGAGAACTATAAAATCTTTGAGTATAAAGACTGAATTTTCATTTCTTTGGCAATTATTGAATGATAAACCAAAAATCTTGATTAAACTAGTATATTTAAAGAAAGTCACTTAATTTTAAAAGCTGAGTCAAACCATCTCAAATTATTCTTACTAAAAATATGTACATCTTCATAGTAAGAGATTAGCTGAGAAACTAAGGAAAACTAAGGTACATTACCGTCATCGTACAGATTTTGACAGTTTGGGCGTTGACTGGTACTGCTGGCCTGGAAGATACGGTACTCGCAGTCTCTGCTCTTGTCACCCCTTGCTGAGGAGATACCAACATCAACTGACCGCTGTTACTTTTGATCAAAACTGTTCCTAGAGTTAAAAGGAAAAATGTGACTTCTAAGGCTAATAAATATAAGCAGCATCATGGACAGTACTTTCTTCCCCAATTTCAACACTGTAAATGAATGCCTAATTCACAATGAAATCCCTGCCTGCTAATTACCATACAAGAGGGTGGTAAAATGTTCACTGAAAGGTATTTAACATATTAAAAATCCAATAGGCATATGGCAAAATAAATGAACACGCAAAATATTTTTTCTTCATGATATCAAAACTATAAAGCTCTATTATTAAGTTTACATGGTAACAGCCTAAAATTAAACAGGCTGGCCAAAAGTATAGAACAAAGAACCTCAAGATAGACTCAATTAAGTATGACTTATGCAAAAATGCTTGGTGTTTCAGATTTTGGAATTTTTTGGATTTTTAAATACTTGAATATACTTCAAAAATCGAGCATATCTAACCTGAAAACCCAAAATTCAATATGCCTAACACCCCAAAATTTCAGATTTTGAGCCAGTTATAATGGCACATGACTTTTAGGGTTATGGAAACCCAATACAGGAGGGTCAAAAGTTTGACCCCACCCTCAGCAACTTGCTGACTTGGAAAGAACCTGTCTCAAATTTTTTTAAAATAGAGAACCTGGGGAAATATCTCAGTAAGAAAGTCCTGGGTTCAATCTCTAGTACTATACACACACAAAAATAGTTTTAGATTTTGGATTACAGATTCTCAACCCATTTTAATTTTTTATAAGCGGCTCTACAGACTTGCAAGGAAAAATCTGACTACAAAATAAATAGGGTTGGGGCAATTAGTTGTCTATATGTTAAAAATGAAATTAGATGCCTGTTTCTCACACATTCACTAGGACCCAGACAACATTAATGATACATAGGTTTAAAAAAAATCCTAAATTTAACTTAGTGTAGAAAATTATCTTTTGAACTTGAGCTAGGGAAAGACTTCTTAAAAATAAGTAAAATCTGATACATTCAATTACATTAAAAGAACTTTTGATCAGTAAAGGATATCATTAGGTAAAAGATAAGGCACAAAATGGAATAAATTTTAGTGCACATATATTTAAAGGACTAGTATCCAAGAATGCATTCAAAAATCCATTTATACAACTAAGCCAAACTGATAGCCATTTGCATACCCTGCAACCCAGTACTGCTAAAAAACATCAGAATTAAACCACACCACACCAGCCATGGTAGTGCACACCTGTAATCTCAGCACTCAGAAGTCTGAGTCTGAGGAATCAGAGCAAGTCCAAGGCCAGCGTAAGTTCAATGCCAGCCTAAACTGTATAGTGAAACCCTGCCTCAGAAAGATAAAAAACAAAACAAACCTACACACACACACACACACACACACACACACACACACACACACACAAAACCACTGAGAGTTTTTGGAAGTTTGTCTAAAGGATACAGAAAAGAAATATGTAACTACCAATGAAGATCTACTGAAAATCATGAAGAACAGTAAGAATTAGTGGCAAGTGAACTACAACCCTTCCTTTCTCCTTTCTCAGCTTAGCATGACAGAAGCTGCACTCCTGATAATGTGGCCAAGAATACAAGCTCTCTGAAGCTTCCAGCAAAGGCTACGGCATGTTCCTGGAAGAAGCAAGTCCCAGCATTTCTCCCCTAGAATCCCCCACCCCACTACATAGCAAAGAAGACAGATTTATGACATATACATCCAAGAGGTTCCAGGCTCCTTTCTTTCACCCATCCCTACTCAGAAAAAAGAAGGTTCTACTTCAGAGATGTACACTGAGAATGTTCGACTCCAATGGCCCTAACCCCAGCTCTTTCAAAGGATCAAGGCTTTATGTGGAGTCAAACAGGAAGTAGCACCCAGCCGGCCCAGTAGCCTGTTCCTAAAGCAAAGGTGTCACTCAGAGAGAAGCATGCTATAGTCCTGACGCCTGCTCCAAATTTCTGCCCAAAGGAACAGAATTGTTTCAAATACAATGTGAAGAAGACCAAGGGTATTCTCAAATACAGCAGAGTTATTATAAGAAAACTGATCTTTTCATGAGAAGCTGAAGCTAAACCACAGGTACATACCAGACAGAATCAAGCAAGAGACAACTAAGAAGGGTCTTTCCCAAATTTGATGGAAAACAATCTAAACAGCTCAATAAAACTTCAACCAGGATAAATACAAAGAGCCATGTCAAAACATTTCATAGTAAACTGTTTAAGGAATAATGAAAAAATGCACATTACAAGATAAACCAAAACTGAGAGTTTTTAAGGTTAGTAGATTTATCATCAGGGTATATCATACTACCTGAAGTTCAAGCTAAAAACAATTGCCCTCAGACAGTAACACAATTTCACAAGTAAGAAAGAAGAGTACCAGTAAAGGTAATTATCTGTATAATTTGACAGTGTAAAATGCACATTATTTGTCTTCATTTAACTGGTTTTTAAAAATCATCTGTATACAACTTATATAAAATTTCATTTTTGGAACTACAGTATACATAAATATAACATTTTGCAAATATTAATGCTCAGGAGGTAATGGAAAAACTGTATTGCACTAATGAACTGACTTAACATGGTAGCTCACTTTCACAGGGAGCAAATAAAAACTAGAAATGTCATATGAGAGGTAATATAAATGCTAAATTATATCCTTATTCTCTCACAGCTTCTTTTAAAAACATGTTATATAACATAACATTATTTAATAGTATCAATTATATAGCATTACATAACAATTATAACAAGATAGTGCTGAGTTTGTACATATCTAGATGCAATAAATATAGCAAAAATGTATGTATACACACACAAAGAGTTAAGGACTTTTAAACTGTATACAAGAAAGGCTTACCTATCTCACCTTAATAAGTTAATATAAATGTAAACTAGGCTTCAGATTTATACCATAAGCGCTATAAGCAACCACTATAAAAAAAATTCAAATAAATATGTCGCAAAAATCACAAAGAAATAGTTACACTATAACAGTATTGCTAAGCCTATGATATCAGTTCCAGAGGGATGTCTGTACTGTTAAAAGCTCTAAAAGACTTGCCGCCAATGCACTAGACAATATCCATTTTAAAGAGAAAGAAGGACTGGAGAAACGAAAAAAGCAAAGAAACACAGAAAACAAAAGTAAATGGTGGACCTTAATCCAACCACATAAAACATTAAATGTAAATGGATTAAATATTCCAAGTAAAAGCAGAAAAAATACAGCTGGATTTTTTTTTTTTTTTTTTTTTTTTTTTTTAGGGATTGAACTCAGGATCTTGTATCTGCAAGCAGGTGCTTATGCTGCTGAGTTAAACCCCCAGCCCATGCAGCTGGACTTTAAAAACCCCAAATCCATCTATATGTTACCTACAAGAGACATATATTAGATTGAAAGATTTAAAAACATTCAAGTATCCAGGCATGGCAGTACACACCTGTAATCCGCGCATTCTGGAAGGTTGAGGTGGAACAACTGGAAATTCAAGCCCAGCCTAGACAATTTAGAAAGACCCAGTCTCAAAATGAAATGAAAAGAAAAAAAGTAAAGGGCTGAGGATGTACCTCAGTAAGAAGGCTCTGGTTTCAACCTCTAATATTATTAACCCTTTAAAAAAAAAAAAAAACATGATCAGAGTGGTCACACTAGTATCAAAGTAGTTTATGCAAGAAAAAGTTATTAAAAATTTATGTAAAAAGAGGTGTTCTATAATGATAAAGGGTCAAATCAGAAAGCTATTACAGCCAGAAGTTATGGCACATGCCTATAATTCCAGTACTCAGAAGGTTGAGCAAGGAGGATCACTGTGAGTTTGAGGCCAGCTTGGGCTACATAGCAAATTGAAGGACAGCCTGAATTGTAGAAAAAGACCCTGTCTCAAAAAAAAAAAAAAAAAAAGCTATAACATTTTTTAAAGAAAAGCTTTAATACCCATAGACTTCAACACTTCACTTTCAACAAAGATTAGGGATGTGGATATAGCTCAGTAGTACAGTGCTTGCCTCGCACATTTGAGGCATTTAATTAGATCCCCAGCACCACACATGCACAACAAACACATGTATGACACAACTAGACAGATCAATGATATGGTTTACATGTCCTCCCAAAGCCTCATGCACTCATAGGTAGGACTTTTGGGAGGTGACTGGATCAGGCAGTATAACTAGCTGATAGTTCATAGTTAAATGTGATGGGAAGAGGCAGAAGCGTATTCACAGGAGACAGGTCAAAAAGGGTATACATTTCCTTTACAGCTGCATTGATTGAATATTCTCAAGTTCCTGCCATGCCATGCCATATGCTGATTCTTCTCTACCATTCCCCTCAAACTCTTTCCAAAAAAACCACAAGAAGGAAATATGTCTCAATCCATTCTGTAAGATCAAGTATCATCAAGAACAAAACAGACTTCAAATGTAAGGTCATATTACCTGACACAACACTTCATCTATAAGCTCAGTATTACCAATGCCAAAAGCAGACAAGGACATCACAAGAAAACTGCAGACCATTACCTCTTATGAACACAGTTGCAAAAATTCTCAATCCAGTACGAGCAAACTAAATTCATTAACATATCAAAAGGACCACAGAACATTTTTTTCATGCAAGGTTGGTTTAATACATGGAACACTGAGAAAAACATCACATTAGATCTAGCATGGCTGATCAAGGGAGGAGTGACATCTGAGAAACTCAAAACAGCAACCAAAAGTAATTAGAAGAAAAGTGAGACATATGCCTTTATACAAAAAAATTGATTTGAAAGAAGAGACGTATAGATTAAACAAAACATATACGCAGGAGTTAAAAAGAGGAGAAGTAGCCAGGCAAGGCTGGCCTGCAGGGCCCCATGAGAACAGCCATTTTGAGAACTTCCCAAATAGTTGGCAGGACCCAAGGAGTGAGGCAGAGATTAGCCCAACAGGACACATTTGGGGATATATGTGCCCCTTCACCCTATCATCTGCTCTCCAAACACGGAGACGGATATAGCCAAACATTTT